CGGGGGGCTGGCGGGGCAGCCGCGGCAGGGCTCCCCGTCCCGCACCAGCACCGGCACCACCACCCGGCGCAGCAGGGCGGGCGGGCGAGGCGGCGGGGGGGTGCCGGGGCCTTCGCTCCGAGCCCTCTTCATCTTGTAGCGGTGGTTTTGGAACCAGATCTTCACCTGGGTGGGGGTGAGGCTGAGGAGCCGGGCCAGCTGCTCCCGCTCCGGCGCCGAGAGGTACCGCTGCTGCCGGAACCGCCGCTCCAGCTCCAGCGTCTGCGCCTTGGAGAAGAGCACCCGCCGCTTCTTCTTCTTCTCCTCGGCCTCCGAGCCGCGGGAGGGGAGCGGCCTTTGGGTGGAGTCGGGCAGGCTCAGCTCCGGGCCGCTCTCGTCGGAAGCTGGGGACAGCGAGGGGGTTAGAGAGAGGGGGCGGCCGGGACCGGGGCGCGGGGAGGGCGGCGGGCCGTCGAGAGCCGGATCGTCTCCCGCTGGGAGAGCCCCGGCTGTTTACCGGGCCGGATTAATCCCAACAGTCAACATGGGGTGTGAGCTACACCCCCTCCGAATACATTAAACATAAACTACGGGACGGAGGAGGTTTCCTTCCCCCCGCCCCCGCGTCGGGAAACGCGGGCTCTTCCCCGGCCTCAGTCCCCACTCGGGCACGGCCGCTCCGCCGCCCACGGCCCGGGGGTTTGCGGGCCGGTAGGGTAACCCCCGGTAGGGTCTGTGCTCTCGCTCGGTGCTAAAACGTAATACGGGGCTTTCATTACTCCCGGTCCTTTCATTCCCGCTTCTCTCCAGCCGCTCCATTACCTTTAATATTGAACTTATCCCCCTGGGGTTCCCGCGTCCCTTCAAAGGACGGTGTCCCCCTCCTCACACACAGGTAGGGGTTGAAGGCCGTACCTCTGCGGCACCCTCGCTGTGTGTGAGGCAAGCCCGACGTGCCACACAGCTGGGCTTGTGAGCGGGATGGGCTTGGGAGCAGGATGGGCTTGTGAGCTGGCCGCGATGGCGAGTGCCTGGGGCGAGGCGGCGGCGGCCAGGGCAGCGCGGGGAGGCGAGGCACGGGGGGGTGCTTAGCTTCCCTCTGCCCTGCGTGGGGTGGCCTGAAACCCCTCCGGCACAAAAAGGCAGGATTCCTTGCAACATTGAAACGGGAAAAATAACATAAAATAAAAAAACAAATAATCCGGGAAGCGAGCTTAAACGATAAACGCAGAGAGAAGGGCGGACACAACCTGAGATTTTCCTTCCTGCCATAGCTGGGAACATGCACCTAGGGGAAAAAACAAATCTTTTCTCTCTTAAGCTCGTGGCCGGGTTGTTCCTGCTGTTTCATTGTTGCAATTCAGTAATATTCTATAAAATTCCCAGCCTGGATCCCCCCGATCCTGTAGGCTACGCACGCTGGCGATTCCCTTCTTTGCATCTTCCCCAGAGGAAGTGGGAAAACAAAAAAAAAAAACAAACAAAAAAAAAGAAGATAGCTGTGCGGAGACGGCGAATTCCTGTCCGTTTCATACTCACAAGGATAGTGATTTCTGTCTGTTTCTGTCCACCCTCGGTACGGCGAGCCGATGTAGTTCTCCGCCGAGTGGTGATGGTCAGAGGCTTGCTTTATGCTATTAGCATCCTGCTCTGGTAAATCCAAAATGCTCCTCACTGTAAAACTGATCCTGCCAGATGTGGCCATGGTAGGTTGTGCACACACACCCCCAAAAAAATATCGTCCCAAAGCCCCGAACCCCCTCCCTTAAAAGCTGCGAGGAAAGGACTGCGCCCAGTTACTGGGGAATCTCTTGGCTCAAGAGGACCTTCCCTTCCATCGCCACCTAACCCCAAATATTAGTGTCGTTTACAGAGGTGTCCTGTTTATATAAACAGTCCTCCCCACTGCAAACACTGCCTGCTTTCAAACCGTCCCTGTCTATAGGATGCTAAGTACCTGAATTAGTCAAGTGCTAAAGCCCTAATGGGAGTAGGTGTAACCCCCCCTCCCGCCACCCCCATGAGAGAATAACCCGTTACCTCCCAAAGACAGCAGGAAACAGGCTTCATCATTACATATTCTGTCTGATTAGCCAAAAGTGGGGACAGATAATGGTAATTGTTAGCAGTGAATAACATCTTGGGTGGCATGTGGATGACCAACAACCACCCCCCTCCATCCGCCACCAAAGCCACCAGCGTCCCTTCTATCTGCAGACAAAGTGAATCCTCCCAGGACATCCGCAGAGCCTGTCGAGAGCCCCCTCCCCGCTTCTCCCTCTTTATTTCCCCCCGTCTTCCCTCTCTCTTTAAACCTGGAAGGAATTTAAGTCGTTATTTGTTTTATTTCCCCGGGCTGCTTTCCCGTGCTACCTCCAATTCTCCCACTTGCCATTGGCAGGTTTCCTACCCTCAACGGGGGATTTTTCACACCTGGGCTGAGCTGTCGGCGGGGAAGGCTGGCGGGTGTGTGCCTTGAGGGTATGGGATCTCCGGGTTGGTTTTTGTTGTGGGGGGTTTTGGGGAGGTATCTTTTTTGATTTCTTTTTTTATTTTTTTTTGGGTGGTAGTGGCGAGGGGGGGCGGGATGTGTGTGTCGGTTTGTTTTCTTTTGCCTCTCCTGGGCACGGTGGATGGGATGCACCTTTCTCTCGGGAAAGGTGATGGTGTGAGCTTGGCTGGGGTAAGGCGGGCAGCCCGGCACAATCGGTCCACGAGCAAGAGTCGGGATGAGGCGTAGGGAAGATTTTTTTTTTTTTTTAGCACCATTTTGCGTTGTTCTAACCCAAGGAGTATCCCCCTCGGGCGGCTGAAACGATTCCAGCTGGGAGAGCTGGGAAGAAAAGATCAAACACGGCGCGTTTATTTATCCGCCGTCTCCCGTCCCCGCCGAGCGCCGCCGCATCTGCCGAAAGCAGCAGCCGACAGCCCCGGAGCCCCGGCCCCCCCCGGACTCCCCCGGGCAGAGGGCTGAGGACATGGGCTGGGCACATCCCGGCGGCAGCTCCGCGGTCCCCTCCGCGGGACAAACGCCTCCGCGCAGCTATTTATCGGGCGGCCCCATCCCCCCGCCAAGCCGCAGTCGGGCTCTGCCCAGCCTCGGGGGGTGCCGAGGACTTATTAAAAAAATAATATGATATAGAAATAAGGAGCAAATGCAAAACTGCGGTGGCGGGGCTCGGTCCTCAGCCGCGGGGCAGGGGCAGAATTAGGCGCGATTAGCCTGTTTTCACGCTGGTCGCGTAGCGTGGATCGAGCCGTGGGGACCACAGAGGGCGGGGGTGGGACACGCTCCCCACCCGCACCCGCAGCGCCCGTCCCCGTCGCCTCCCGCCGGGTTCGTGGGAGGGACGCGTCTAGAAAATACCAGTGGGAGGCGAATTCAGCTGGATGGAGGAAAGCCCGGAGGGAAGGAGACACCTATCCTCCCCCGAGCAGACCCGCTTTCCCTCGAATGCCGGCCAAGGCACACACAGCGCGGTCCCGTCGGGCAAAACGGGCTGAAATGGCGTGAAATGGTGTTCCAGGCGCGCAGCCTGGAAATAGAAGCCCAGATACACGCCGAGCCGCTCTTCTGGCCGGCAGCTTTGTTGGTTCAAATTTCCCTGTCCAAACAGACATCTATAAGCTATTGTGCGTGGCTTATATTTATCCATCCCCGCACTCGCCCCTCGGCCCTTCTCCCCGCCCGCCCCCGGCCGCCGGTACCCCCTCCCCGCCTGGCTCTGGGTGCCGCTTCTGGAAGCAGTTACACTTCACGGGGAACGCGTCAATAGAGCAATAACGACGAGGGGGAGGAGAGATTTATATCAGCGAGGTTTGCGGGCGAGATGAACGGGGCACAAGACTCCATTTGGCCAACTTCCCGCATATTTCTTCGGGACTGGACAGGCTCCATATAAACGATTCCCAGGCCGTGATTACTGCAGCCACCTATCAAGCGTGCCTGGTGACAGTAGTTATCTTCCCCGCTCCGAGCACAGCCTCCCAGCCGTCCTGGGTGGTCGGAGCGAGGGGAGCACAAATACATGCCAACTGCTAGGCCGTGAACAAAAGGGAAATGTAGCCCTATGTCCCGGACCTGTTGGAAGCATTTGTTCCAGTCAAGATTTTGCATTTGTTCAGATCTGGAATAATAGGTGATTGACGCCTTCCCACAATGTGCTTTAACTCGCCGGGATAAATCGGAGCTTGTTCCTTGTTGTCATGGTTTTCAATAGGGTTCAATGGGATTGAACCACTATCGACTCTGCTTTACGTCTCCGGCAGCCCCGTCCATACAAATTTATTAGTTATGTCTTTTTAAATGAGATTAAATTGAAACGACGTGGCCGTCCTCGGCGGAGCGGCTCCTCCCGCCGTCGCCCCGGTCCCCCCGCCGCCC